GGTAGTCGTGAGTACTCGGGTGGCGTATACCTCAAACTTTGAAATGGCGGCCTTGAGCTGGCCCATGTTCTCGGTGGACTATGTGTATGCATTATACAGATCGTCTTGTAGGGATGTGTGATCATCCACAGGCGGGGTCCGAGTACCGAGCCCTGAGGTACACCGCATCGGACTTCGATTGGTTCACAAAGACTACTGCGAACCCTCACATTCAGATGACGTTAAACGAGAACATTACTTACCTAGCCCATAACGCACTCGTTAATTCCATAATTTTGAAGATTATGCAGTAGCATATGGGGATTCAGACGGTCAAATGTCTTCGAGAAATCCAGGTAGGCCGTATCCACATTTTCCGTCCGGCATACTTGAGCTATCAGCAAGCTGTCAGTACAGGAACGATTTTGACAAAATCCATGCTGTTCCTTGAGAAACTTAAAACCGCAACAATTGAACGAGACGAAATGATGGTCTCTTTCGATGTTACCGCCTTGTTCACTTCAATCGACGTTCGCTTGGCGAAACAAACAATGACGCGCCTGCTAGAGGAGCACACGTCGTCTGATACAAACAGTGGACCCGAACCCAAACATTTGATGGAGTTATTGAAATTCTGTCTAACAACACATTTCACTTTCAACGGCCAAATTTACGTACAGACAAGAGGCACACCAATGGGATCGCCGATCTCTGGTCTAATAGCCGAAGCAGTGATGCAGGCGCTGGAACAAATAGCACATCCGATCGCGAGACCAAAACTTTGGGTACGATACGTAGACGACACCTTCGTCATCCTCAAACATTCCAAATTGAAGGAAACACACGAACTAATCAAGTGTGTTCGATGGCATCCAATTCACCAGGGAGGAGGAGAACAACGAACAGTTACCATTCTTAGACGTTCTCATACGACGGACTGGTGCTGAAAAATTGGAAACAACGGTCTGCCGAAAATCTACGCATACAGACCAGGTCCTCAACTACGGCAGCAATCATGCGGCAGCCCACAAACGCAGCTGCGTGCAAACCCTTTTCAAACGAGCACAAACCTACTGTAGCACACCGCAGCTGAGACGGGCAGAGGAAGCTCATCTCTTCAACCTGTTCAAGCGGAACTCGTACCCAAAAGGCTTCATTCTACGCTGCCTCTCATCATAAAAGGTAACTCAACACACCTCGACAAATGTACCAGCTGAAAAGAGAACAACACTTCCCTATATCAACGGTATCTCTGAAACGGCAGCGAGGCTTTTATTGCCTTTTGGAGTCAAAGTTGCACACCAGCCAACGGAAACCATTCGCGGTAAACTCTTCAAGGTGAAAGATAAACTCAGCAAAGAAGAAGAAACTGGTGTGATTTATAAGATCTGCTGCCGGAACTGCGACAAGTACTACGTGGGACAGACTGGGAGGAAGCTTGGCACAAGGCTACACGAACACAGCCTAGCCATACGTCGCCACGATCAGAACTCCCTGATGTCAGTGCACATGGATGCTGAGAACCATCAATTCGACATAGAGCATGCCAATATCCTCGGAAGGGCTAAAAGCCGGCAAGCACGTGAGTTCATTGAAGCCTGGCATTCAAAGCAGAACTCGATCAATAATCACTTGGACATTGAAGTCGCTTACGAGGCACTGCGAACCAGGCCCCCGAAACCGCACTGATGATGTTGCCTAGCCAAGCAACGAAACGTCTGCATAATAATCACCCAGCTCGGAGAACCGCTCAAAATCCGCATTTTCTTACTCCCCTGGTATCTCGTGAGCGCCTCAGCGACAATGGACTATATGATTTTGGAGATCACTGAAAGAAGTGTTATCGGGCGACAATTCGCTGGTTCTGCACAGCGGCCACTTTTGTAGCTTGGAATAATGATCCTGTGTTACTGCATTGTCAGAATCTACATCTCGTCAAGATATCGTTGAAATAATAATGTTAGCGGTTCAGCTGTGTCTCTGGCAGCAACTTTCAACGCTTTTGTGCGACTGCCGTCTGCACCTGGGGAGCTGTACCAGCGCACGGATATCGGCCATTTCTATACACCTGTGGTTTTAAAGGATATGGGGTATGGCTCTAATTTCGGCAATATCTGCGTAGGTGGTATGTAAGATGACTGCACAGTTTAGAAGGTGCGGCCAAATTGTTGTGTAAGAATGCTGGACGCTTCTTGGACTGTTTGCGCTCTACGCTGTTTTACGCTCTACCGTTCAATGTAGACAAATGTCGCGTAGTACAATTACGCCATAGACATAACTACACCTACATACTTGGGACAAACGAATTGCAGAATAGCTCCCAGGAACGTGATCTTGGTGTGCTCGTACAGAGCGACCTCAACTGTTCAAAACAGGCTGAGGTAGCTGCCAAAAGAGGCAACCAGCACGTCGGCATGCTGCGAAGGGCATTCGGGAGATTCGACCCATCAATTTTCCCCATGATGCTCTATTCCTACGTGCGCCCGCATGTTGAGTACGCAATCCAAGCTTGGCAACCTTGGTTGAAACGCGACCTAGAAGCGATAGAGGCACCACAACGGAGAGCAACCAAGAACGTGAAGGGCCTGCGGTATCACTCTTATCACCGAAGGCTGAAGTTGCTGGGAATTTTCAGCGGACGTTATCGAAGGCTGCGCGGCGATCTCATATTAGCGTATCAGATATTGAGTGACCCCAACCACGTATGCCGCCATTTGCTGAAACTTAGCCACAACACGCAGCTCAGGGGTAACTGCTTAAAGTTGCAGGAACAATATAACCGTCTAGAGTGTCGACGGAATTACTTTTCCCTTCGGGTTTGCAAACCCTGGAACGCACTCCTAGACTCCGTAGTATCCTCTCCTACCCTGGATGTTTTCACAAAACGATTAGATGTTGCTCTTAGCTCCCAACATTTTGTTACCTAAGCTCCTCTGTTGTGGATTACGCCAAGCATGTTTTCAACAGGACTAATGTATCAAATGGACCTAAGTGAGCGACCATATTTTATTTTCTCACTGCTTACCTCAACTATCACTGCGCCCCAGTGTCTTTCGGAATGTTTACGCGCGATATTTCTTTTTCATTTTACACTGATGTTTAATTATCAAAGTATTCATCTCGGCAGACGTTCGATAGATGACCCAGACATATTTTAATTGCATCCTATTCACCGCTACCATCCTACGGGACGTGTCAAGCACTTGCTTTTATCCCGTGATAAATCATTGTTCATTGTTCATTGCGCCAAGCCACATGCTGTGTGCTGAGCGGGAATTCAGCAATTAACTCTATGAACTTTGTTCATGTGTCCGTAATGTAGGTTAGAGTTAGAGCGAAATCTTATTACAAGCTTCTGTTTGTATTTTGCTCTTTCCTTCTGGACAAGTTTGAAGTGGTAGTTCCTTTGTGTCGCATAGACGTCCCAAATGTCCTCGCTCAGTTATGGTATGTAGGTGAGTCATGCCAAGTCCCTCATTGTCATGCATTTTCGAGTCCTGTTCCTTAGAAACTACTTTATCTTTTTGGTTCAGTGAATTTTGGTTTCAGATGTGCTTGCCACAAGCTTGTTGAAACTGTTGACAAATTCCCTGCAGTCTAGCATAGGGACGATTCAGATAGAGAAGAATAGCTTGTTGCATGGATGTGGTATGACAAATTAACAAAATTGTTTATGACGTGTGATTCTTCTGTGCCATCTTAGGACATTCTGCGTAGCACATGTTACGAAACCTTGGTGTCACATGTTCACCACAGCCCGAAGGATTGCACGTTGCTACTACATCGATCATGAGTTCCTCGTTGGTAAAATTGAGGTCCAAGATAGCCGGTTTGTTTCCTGCTCTGAAACGCGTTGGGGAAGGGACATTATAGTGCAGTGGCGAACCAGCGATTAGCTCTTGCAGTTCCTACTTGAATTGCTCACCGAGCGTGACTGGGGGTTCTGGGGGGTGCAAATGGATGTCACGTACCAGGAGGACGTGGCTGTAATCTCGTGCCAGTAGGTTCTTCATAGCGGAAGCTAGAACCTGGAACGTTTCTAAAGTAAACATTGCTAGACGGTACACAATGGCAAATAGACATGTGTGTAAATTGCGTTCAGAGAACTGAGCCTGTCGGGACAGGTGCAAGATGTTTGTTGACAGTGTCCTACGCATGGGACCACAGGTGCGAACAAAGCCTACAAAGGTCATGAGACGATCATTCTGTTGGAGGCAATGGGCGCTTGGTTATCGCTCGGCCGGACTTTGACTTGGTGGAAAGTTGAGCGTTGAGCGTGGAAGAGTACCCGATAGTTTAGCGTATGTTGAAATGAGAGCTGCTAAAGGAGCTGCAGCTATCAAATGGAGCATCAGATTTTTGTAGTATGGAAAGCATTGAATAGCCCAAAGAACCCTTTCTCGAATGAGAGAAAAATGAGAGGTATGCACTCGAAACATAATATCGATGTGCGCGTTAGTTTCAATGAAAATCCTGCTGATATTGCGGAAGCTGATACAACGATGACGCATGGCAGACAACCTTGTAACCGAGCTGATAAATCCGAGTTGAATAAGAGCGTCAGGAATTATGGCTAATAATTCCAGGAAGGAAGGAGCGGCGAAACAATACGAACATACGCCAGCAGTCGAATATTTGGTTAAATATTTCGTATAGCTAACCGTTAAATATGGTCGCTCAATTCATTCATTTGGTCAAGCCAAGGTGCACTAATCTATAGCGAGCTGAGCGAATTTATAGCTTAGCTTAAAATGCAGGAATACACTGATTCTTACTCACTGACAATCTTATGTTGTTATTATTATTGATTTCCCTATCGTTTTGAAGAGTTGAAATCTTAAACATCCCTAGACTCTAGTCTGTTTTTGTGCCGCCTGACCGTTTATGCAAATTGGCTGTCCATAAGCTTGTGTTTTTGATTGCTTTAAATGCTAACTGAGAGCACTGGATTGTGTGACCGGTAGTGAGAATTTGCCGATACTATGAGAAGTAGCCAATTACTTGTCTTAATTATCTTACAGATTACGAAAAACCCCTCCAGATCGACGATTCTGAAGGAAATCAGCTCAAATTGCCATCACTTAGCAGCTCTATCAGCGTTCGAAATGTTGGCAATCCTTTATGCTCTGAATTTGCAACAGCTGAACCATCGGATGCAACAGACAGCACTACCACATTGAGGGACGGTGGGTTATTGAGGGAGACACTCAATCCACAGTGGACACACAATCCTAATCATGTGAAAATAATGAAGCATATCAACTCGGTGGACACGAACAACGAACACGTAAAAACGGCAACCAGCTCACTAATTCCCACAAAACCGCTTCGTTCAGTGCGGAGCAACCCTTCCAGTCCAATTTTAGGCAAACCGCATGAGCATTGCTCAGTTTACAAAGGTTCAGTATCGCCCCATCGTACGCCATCGGCTAATAAGAATCAGGGTAATGTCTCTGGCCTGCCACCTGCTCCCAGGAGAGCGAGCCCAAATCGTTCGACTCGCCGAGATCCAGCCACTGGTGCAGTTCTTTCTCCTACAGGGCCACCGGTGGAGCAAGTGAGTACACTCATTGAACCAGCAACAGGACAGCAGAAACAAGTCACCACCCGGTCGCAGTCATTCACCGATCTCAACCGAAATGTTATCCTCACCGAGTTGGACGAAACCATAGAAAGTGATGAAACTATGGAACATTGCATTAAGAAAAGGCTTGTAAGAAAGGGTGAGACACAGCTAACAGCAGTTGATTCGCCAGCATTCTAATTTACTCTTGACACATAATCGCTTAACAATTTATTTACGCTCCAGTGTTTAAGTTGGTATTCATTTTATATATTCTGCAGTCACTCACATATGACACTGTTTCGGCTGTGTCCACTTTCACTTACCCATCAGTCTGACCAGATTTTGCGATTTGTTGACGGATATTCGACTCAGTCATACACGGCAAAATAGCCACTGCAATCCAGAAAAGCACTGGACGACCGATGCACACTTCCGGGAAACATCAGCATTGCGCATTCCTCTGGTGCTACAATGTATAGGAGGAACCTGCAACTACACAGCAGAGCGGCGCTACAATCGCGTCGCTGTCTTACCGTTTTTAAAGATTGAATGTGTGGTATAATAAGCAGTCGATCTGATGTATTTGGAACACTCTTAGTGGGGTAGGGCTCCGCGTCCACTCGCACCGGCGGGACATCAATGAAATAAAGCGCACTTCCCAGAGCTTGCCCATTTTCCCGATCTGCACCATTCCCTAATCGCAAAGGAGCTGATTGCATGCTGATAGCGATATCGAATGATACACATACAGCGCGGTGATGAAGTTGCAGCTGTTTTCTATAGTTAAATAAGCTAAACACCTCAATGCTGTTAATTACTATTCTTGTGGGGAAAATAATGATTCCACTCATTTCTTATTTAATGTTGGACGATAATTGTCATTTGACACCAACTTAGTCTTAGTTTAAAGTATAAAACTATCTTTATTATTTCAAATTGGCATATCAGATGAAGCAATTTGTGCGACGCTTGCATACTCTCTTGATCACTACACGCCGCCAACAAAGGATCTAAAACAATTACACCTGAAATCGCTTGGTATCCAGTATCTTTTCAACTGGGGAAATACAAGCTACCACGGTCAACTTAGTATCAGCATCAGATTTGTTTGAAGACAGCAGTGGACGATCTCTATCGATAGCGATCGTCTTGAGGTGCTTGGTACTATGGGGCGCATGAGCTCAGCACACGATGACTGTGAATAATGCATTAGGACGGACATGCTGACCGGTGCTTAGTAAATTTCACACAATTGCTGAGGAAACCTGTTTCTTTGTTCACCCGGTGCAGCTGTCATGTGTTCTGTCCGTTTTCGATGCCATTTTCGAATACATTCATTGATTCGGACATTTAAATGTCGATCAAGGCTTCCAACCAAGCTGTGCCCACAGTTAATCTGAATTTGTTTAAACAATGGGTCACGCACTGCATCGACAACGGTTTCTTTAGTGAACTTCTCTTTCTTTCAACATCCGTAGCAATTATGAAGCCCCGGAGGTAATATCCAGCTAACTTCTCTTGTACTGACTATAATCTTCTGTTCTATATTGCATCTTTCATTTTTGGCGTATCGGCATATTTTCTGGTAACCTTTGATCACTACGGGGGGATGTACGAGATGAATTGAAAAATAACTAAAGTATATTTTTGAATAAATCATTTGAATAACCAATGGGGTGATTGCTCGGTAAGAGATTATCTGTGTATTTCAGGTCACAACAACTCAGTAAGAGAGCGGAAGTCAACTGACCGGACTGATAGTAAGTTCACTAGGATGTATTTACGTTAATAGCCGTCACCCCAAAGGTTAATGTCATTTTGAGATTGTTACAATGCGGTGCGATTTAGCCTGCCCCATCAACTAAGTTGGGAACTGAGTGAGTTAGGATTGCGACGTCTCTAAATCCCTCACAATATCACCGAACGAAAATAAATTGATTGCTTTAATTTTGTCTCTCTGAACCATACTAAAACGTAATTCGTTACAAAGAGGCTGTCCGATTTTTTCCAGCTCTACTACTTGCTGTTTGGATAGGAAGAGCAGATAACTTCCTACCCAAACTATGTTCAGCAAACTGCACTAAGCTGAGAGTCCTTCGCCTAGACTGGCTGCATCTTATGTGGCAAGTTCTAACTGTGGACCAATGCAGCAATGGTTTATGACGGATCTAAATTCGAATGCTTGACATTTCCAACAGGATAGTTAGGGTGCTAATTATAAAATAAAAAACAGTGTCAGTAAAAGTAGGCGTGAAATACATGATTCACCAAGGGGTTTAGATTAGCACATGTGCTAGCATCCCAACCTAGAGTGGGCTATGACGCCGTCCACTGTTTGTTGTGCAGTATTGCCAGCATCTGAGGGTCACGTAGTTTAAGTGTGTCAGAGTATTGTCAAGACCTTTATTGAAAGAGACAAGGTGGGGGCAAGAATTACAAGTGACGAGAGGGCTTTTCAAGGTTTGAAACTCAGAGGGAGAAACAGATTCGTCGACATTCCGGTCGGCTGTACTGTATGACCAGCTTAAATTGATGACAGAGATATGGTTTGACTAAGTTTCAAAAGAGAAAGAAATGTGTGTTTGGAGTTTCTCAGGATCTGATACATCATAATGAGATGGCCCCTTAGCCGCCGATAACATCCGCTGTATATTTTAAGGGCTTTCAGCCTGAGGGTATAGGGAAGGCGAGACAAATCTTGGACGTTCTTTGTCGTCCTGCGTTGTGCAGTATCGAGCGTCGTGTGCTGGTGCTTCATCCAGGGTTGCCACGCTTGGACAGCATATTCTGCAAACGGCCTCACGTGTGAAGCAAGCATTTTCCGAATGACTGAGACGTCAAACTTCCCGAACGCTCTGCAAAAGAGGCCGTAGTGCTAGTTTACTTTCTTTGATACCTTTTCGGTCTGCCTCAATTAACCGAGGTCATCATGAATAAGCACTCTGAGATCGTACTCATGTGAAGTCCGCTGTAGAATTCGTGGTCCTAGGCGACAGTTGTGAGTACTCGGATGTTGTGTGCGTCGGTAGCGTTGAAATGCAGCACGTTCCCCATGGATCATGTGTTCGCTTTGTCCAGGTCGTTCTGTAAGAATGTATGGTCCTCCACTGTAGCAGTAGCAACCATATCTTTAGATCATCGGCAAATAGTAGACATTTTGAAGATAGCACGCTCGCGAGACCAGTTATGAAGACCAGGAACAGGAGGGACCCGAGTACAGAACCCTAACGTACGCCGCACTGAACTTCAATTGGTTCCGATAAGATGCTGCAAACCATCACATTCAGGTGACCTTGAACAAGAAAGTCGCCTTTTCAGCCTAGAATGGGGTCGTTGTTTCCACAATTCTGAAGTTTGTGTAGTAGAATACGATGATCTTGCCTGTCGAATGCTTTTGAGAAATCAGGTAGGCCGCAACCACACCTGCTCCAGCATCTACAGATTCCGCCCAGCTTGCACGCGCTATCAACAGTAGTAGTACAGGACCGATTTTGCCGAAAACCGTGCTGTTCCGGAACGAGAATGTTATTACTCTCCAGTTACCACATCAAAGCCTCAGCTACAATGGACTCCATAAACTTAGAGATCGCCGAATGTAGTGTTGTCGGGCGATAATTTCTGGTTCAGCACGGCTACCACTTTTGTAGATTGGAGCGATGATCCCGTACTTCCATATGGTGGGGTCGTGCATCTCGTTAGGATGTCGCTGAAAGAGAATTGCTAGCGGTTGCGCTAAACTCATGGCGGCAACTTTCAATGTCTTCGGGTGAATGTCTTTCGCACTCGCGAAGCTGAACTCGCGCAAGAACATCAACTTCTTTAGTACAGCTGTGGAGGTAAACGATATGTGGTTGAGTTTTGATGGCGGTATGCTCTGCGTAGGCAGGATGTAAGCTGATTGCATACTTTGGGAGGTACGGCTAAGCAATTGGCCGCCTCTTGTGCCGTTTGTGCTAACCCGCATACTGTGTGCAAAGTAGGAATTCCACACTTAACCCGCCGCGGCTTTTTACTTGTCTGTATAGCAGGTTGGGATTATAGCAAACATATTTCACTGGGTCTTGTTGGTTCTTTAGTTTTTACTCCCGGACGAATTTGACACTTTGGTTCTTTGTGTTGCATAGACATCCCAGGTGCGCTCGCTCGGGAAGGCTATGTAGGTGTGCCATGCCAAGTCCCTCAATGCCATACATTTACATGTCCAGCTCCTTACTAAAGACTTCACCTTTTTACGTCAGTATATTTTGGTTTCAAATGTGCTTGCCACGAGCCTGTTACATCTGTTGACGAAAGCTCCGCAGGCCACTTCAGGGGACCATTCGGCTAGGAATGACCAGCTTGTTGCACCACTGAGGTCGAACATATCATTATAGTTGATTACGATGTGAGGTTCCTCGGCATGCCTTTTAGGATACTCCGCGGAACACATGTAATGGAACGCAAATACCACATGATCTCTGAGGTCCAAAGCAGTGTACGTTGATATTACATCGATCGTGAGTTCCTTTCTGGTGAAAATGAGGTCCAAGACGGCCGGTTTGTTTCCTGTCCTGAAACGCGTTGGAGAAGCGACATGGTTGCACAGCGGTGAACCAGCGATTAGCTCTTGCAGTTTCACCTTGAATTCCTCACTGAACGTGGCTGGGGTTTCTAGGCATTACAGAGAACGTGGCTGAAACATCGTGCAAATATGTTTTTCAAGGTAGAGGTTATGGTTAGGTCGCTTTATAAAGTGGACATTTGTGGCCATTATACAATGGCCACTAAGCATCTATTGTCCTGCCTCAGGTGTAAGCATCACCATAAGCGTTCACGGTTTCAATCCCAGGGTCGTTTACGCGGTGGATGACAGGTCGGTACGGTAGTAAATAATTACACCACCTCCATTTGTGGGTTGGTCATTACGCAGGAGTGACATACAATGCAGTGGGACCTTGGCATCAGTAAGCACGTTGTAAAGCCATGTCTCAGCTACCATGATGAGGTCCCAACACAATGAGTTTTGATGTATTCATGAGTAGGGGATTTTGATGTAATTAAGTGAGATTTATCCAAATCAGATAGTCGTCCACGTGCCAGGAAAAGCAATAGACTGCAGTTTCAGCCTGTTGGGCATCGTCAGTAGTGCGAATCCATCGGATCCATCAGAATCCGAACCCATGACCACCAGCGGCTTGAACTGCCAGTCAGCAGCTTATGTCACTGAGCCACGGGGGACAGCTTCCAACCGTCATGATTTACAAGCTAACTGTGATATAGCGCGTCTTATCCTTCACTGTCATGCAAGTTACGAACGTTGCAGAGGACAGGGTTGGCCCCGAAAGACTCGACATCCACTAACATTGCTATGTTCGTCATAGCATTTATTAAGTGTCAGTACGTCAAAATCCCCTATACATGAGTTCATCAAAGTAAATCTGCCCTGGCGGTTTCTAAATGCTATGTCGCACATAGCTATTGTTATTGGACGTCGTGTTTTTCGGAGCCAACGCTGTCCTCTGTATTCCTGTAAATTATGTGATGGACATGTTTGTCTGTCCTGGTTTTCAGCTGAAAGACGATCATTCTGGTTCATTCAACTGGCGTTTTAAGCGTGATGTTAAATACTTTCCCATTGTTTCTGGTTTGAATTTGAAGCTGCACTCTGTCATATTTAGCGGTCCAAAGTTAGTTATTAACTACCAAGCTTGCAGCAGCAACAGGGCACAAAAGAATTTTATGGACATGTTACTTTTATACATCGTGGTGTATTACAAACTGCGGGAAATATGCGCACACGAGGTAAAACCGTAGTCAAGTTATTTTAGCCTGAAACACTTTGTTGAGTTTTGGACTTCCAAAATAACTGTGAAGATCCTAGGACCATCAGTAAAGACAAAGCCTTGGGTGAATAACAGCATTTCAAGATCTACATATAGGGAAACATGTAATAAACACTTACTAGCTGAATGGCCATGACTACGCACTGCGAATGAAATGCTTTCTCTTTACCAACGATAATATAACAGTTTCTATGGGATCATGAATATTTGTTTCTACAAATTAAGCACTACACAATTATGATTACAAGTTTCTTTATTTGCTCGTTTCTTTCAAATAGCAACTACGCAACCTTTCTCATCGTTCCGTGGAAGATTTACTGGCCATCTCTCATTGTGTCACCGTTTATCTTTTATTCTACTTAACATTAGAATAAAACCCCATCAAAAAAGTAAATTAACGGGAGCACGTATTTTGAAATGCATATACAGGCCGAATGTTTTCCTGAATCCATCCTAAACTATTGCGTACTCTAAATTAAAGCATGATTTATATTCTGAACACGACTCGACTGTAGCTTCATTGTGATCACAGTGCACTTGGATGGTACAGGGCAAAGATTTATCTTGATGGGCACCGGTTGTGTGCTCCTCGTCCTTACTGACCAGCACATTGTCTGTGTTTTCATTCGTGCTTGCAGAGCAGACGATTCCGATGTTTTGCAATACATGCCGATGTTTCGAGGGTCTGGGTACCTTCACACCATGAAATAACAGGCCAGAATCATATTTACTTTCAGTTGCTGCTGTTAGCTTTGTCTAGCTCAAGTCAAGGGCGCGTTTTCTTTGCTTCTGTGTGTGCAAGCTAAGTTTCAGCCGAGTTGTTGAAAAGAATGCCAGTGAATCCATCAATGTACTTCGTTGAATGAGGTCGGATTTACCGGAATGGATTTACAATAGGGCTATAACTAAAAGCAAGCTTTACCACAATATTCGTTACATGTATTTTGTGAACTGAGCCCTGTTTGTCTTTCTGTGACACAAAGCGCAACGCCGCTTCTCTGACTTCAGTGGATGCAAATAGTATGGTGTCCATCGCTTTATTGGAGGCTGCTTCATACTTATGATGAAACTGCGAAACTACAACCTAAGGCCACTTTGGGAATTTTACGCCATGTGCATTATGTAGTTAAGTTAAATTCAATCTTTTAGGTATAGATCGCAAAGTTGCTAAATGCTAGCACCAAAAACATTTTGCCGATAGGCACTGTACAAACATTAACCAGCAGTTTCATTGAGTGACAGTTATTAGAACACTGGATGGTGTACCCATTTATTTATTTGCTCTCTGTCTCAGTCAGAATATTATTGTAGTTTAGTTCATGCATGGCTTACTGTCGCGTTTCTGGTAACACCTATCACAATGTTAACTTCAGCTAATGGTTTTGCACCTAATCGACCTGAATTGCTAAGTCCCATATTAGCTTTTAGCATATACCAGACATATAATCTTACGAAAACCGATTCACGTCGTTCGCACTTACTCAACCTGCCTTTCTGCTTTTTTCCTTGCGGCATGCATGAAGGCGTATTTGTGTTTATTTTCCTTACGAGGTTCGTCCAGAATCGCATGTTTTTTGTATGACATCCCTTATTGCAAGCGAGGGTCTGACGAAGTGTTTACAACGAGGCCGCACGTCCCGCCTACATATAACTGTACCTCTGACGGTGAATGTTATGCTTGTTCAGTTTCGACTATTTGACATCATGCATGCACCTTTTCCTCATCAGATTCTCCCAGGCAGTTGTCAACAAAGCATGAGAATGCACTACCCACTGTACCAGATCGCATGGGACTAACAGCAGAGAAACAGCTACGCGAGAAAATTGATGAGATTGAAGAATTGATTACTGAATTGAAAACTCGCTCCAACCAGCTGGTCAAAGCAACCGACAGTACGATAAAACCTTACCCCATGTCTTCTTGGGCGGTGAGCCAAGGTGTGATACATATGGACAAGTGAACATGTCTGTGTGTGTTCGCTTCTCTCAAAGTACTATTGGTGCTGTAGCAAGATTTCTGTTTAATTTTTCTGAACGTGTAAACATCGTCCTGTGTGCTATATTAACCTTTATCTATAGTGAATCTTTGTCTACCTCTTTAGTGATATGTCCCTTTCAAAGTGATTTTGATCACGGATCCCAGAGTGTAGAAAGATGTTCCAGGTCAAATTTCTCGTTTGTCGGCTGATGATCTTGCTCTAGCACTCAAACCAAAAGCTACTTTCTGCTGGCCTTTTCTCAACACAACTGAAATCATGATATTAGCGGTAGTGTTTATTTTTACCTTATTCGACGGCATCGATGATACACCGTCGTTTATGCTGCATGATAACCTTGACTGTATCGGACAAAAATGCTAAAGTATCTTTTTAGGTCTGATACTAGTAGATCTATTTCGCGCTTATTCCTAGCCTAGATTTTGAGACTGTTTGATTTCCTTGTTCAGTATACCTAAATTTCTGACTACACTAGGCAGACTACGCGACCAATGTTTATGTGTGGGTATAAAAGATGCATAAGACACTTGTCGCACAGCTTGAATCATAACAAATCGGTAAAGTTTATAAGCGGGGTTTATACAGAGCGTTTTTAAAGGCTGGAATTGACTTTACATAACACAATCCTGATAAAACTGTCGCTGAAACTAAAAGTGATCAATGATACATAAGTACGATAGAAAGCTGAATATGCAAATGAAAGTGAGTAGCCTCTATGTTTGCCCAAAATCTCCGTTAGCAGTGCGAATGTCTATCCAGAAATATGCTTGTCTCACTAGGTAATTCGTCATTCTTGTTGAAATGTAGTCATAAGCGTTATGTTTATAGAATACTTTGTAGCCTTTAATGTAATCGGAAGCTTTTAGACGTTAAGAGCAGTTTGCATCGGATCAGTGCAAGGACGAAATGTTTTTCTTTCATTATTTAAATTGCAATAAATTAAATAACAAAATTATCGTGGTACACCCAGTTAAATTACTACTGGAACACGCCAGGGAGCGAATAACGCTTAGCCGTGTACTAAAACGCACAGCGCATTGACTAAGTACCATTTTATTGTAATTATGTTTACTTTAACGAACTCCCTACACTGCTAACAACTAGCAAAGGAAGCAACACATATGCGCCCAAGCTACGAAACAAAAACGAAGGGAAAGCTGCTGAGCACGTTATATGATTTTCATGGCTTTCAGCCGAAGGCTGCTTGGAATAACCTGTCTTTTCCTTCGTTGTTTTACCTCGACCTACCATAGCTTAAAAGTACAAGCTCAGCCATATTCTCACTAAATGTTTTGTCAGTGTTTAGGGCCGAAAGACGGAAGTACTCTATTTTCACTTTATGTTTCTTAATAATATTAGATTACTTGGCTTCTGGAGCTAACAACAATAACCTGTTCGGTCTTACTAGTCGGACAAATATGATATTCTTGTATGATCCATTCGCAGTATTTTCAGTTACTTTTTACTGAATGGATCTCATATTCTTTCAACCGAACGGGTAACTTGCTGTTATCACACCTACATCTAAACTTTTATACCAGTTGCATTTGTTGCAAATTAATTTGCCGTTTGCTATTTCACATTCGCTGCTGCACCCACTAACCTTAGAACATTCATTCCTTTTTGTATGATCTATGCAGCAACGCCGGGTAGAGCGACAAGCCAGACAAATATCCCAGGTTACACCAGCCTCGGCCGACCACAATGGACATCTGGTGAGTTGTGCTAGTGAAAACCTTTACCCTTAATAAGCGTATACTCACGGTGATCTAACACTCATTGTTCCCGAATTTCAACTACTTAATATGTGGTATCACTACAAACCATGATAATCTTTTAGTTATAATCTAGATGTTCCTACCATAATTATCTAACAGATTTAAATATACGGAGCACAACGAACTACAAACAGATGCCAATGCATTCCACCTATTCGGCTCACCGAGAAAATATGCAAAGGCGAGAGGAACAGCGTAGAGCGACAGAGGCGGAAGTGAGTTCACTGATATTACAGATTCCGTTTCACAAGTGACCCTGTGGCTACCTTAGTTACTGTTCGAGGATTTTTGCTATGATTACATCCGCGTTGGTATATTAAACGAAACTTTTCCGTTACATTTGCTGCTTCTGCCAATGATTTCCATGACACCAAAGTATGGAATATATCAGATTGTACCATATTTCTATTGCTGCCAAACAAACGTGCTAGCAAACGTGCTAAAATTAATGCTAGCGTCAAAATGTCACATCTCTTACTTTTAATTTACCATATTTACCCCTCTGATGTACCTCAGGCAACAACTCGTCAAGGTCATACTTGCACGTATGTTTTGCCGGGCTACACTCTAGATCTAAGTAGACTTTCTTGGATGGTTTCCACCGTACCAAACTGTTCTTCATGGCAAAGGTCGCTTGGCACTCAAATTTCAATATCCAAGCTTCAGCTGATATTTTTGGATTCCACTTCATTCGAAAGGACTTATGGATCTGTCTAACCGTTAAAGTGTTTACCTTAGGCGTAGTCCATCTATGCTTCCAATGTGAGGTAAAAGTCAGATGAACTATTAGTATGGCGCTCGAACATGTTGGTGTCTTGGAGAAAAATAAACTAAAATCTGTTTGCAGTCATCAAAATAAGTTGATCGGGATTGCTCAGGACGGTTTAGTACAAGCGTCTATTAGTTCAGAGATTCCTCTACACCATTCGAACAGATGCAACACGCAATCTCTAGATGTCTAAGTAACCTCGGGTTGAAAATCGATTCGGACAAACGTTGCTAACAAGGTGGCGTGCTGTTTGCCATCAGTAATTTCCATACAACTCCATACTACGCAACATTTCACTCGTTTTGTTCTATTAAAGTCGGTACTGCACTTTGACTAAGCCTTTTATTTATGCACTGTACCACCAGGCTGCACCTTCCTAACTGGGATAATCTAGGTAAATCATCTGAAACATAGCTAACATGTACGAAACTGACCTTTCGATGAAATTCGTTGTTCGGCTCTTCCAACTTCATCATTCTTCTGGTAGATTCGACCTAATTCACTCATTTAAACTTTCCAAGAGCTGTCTCCTTTAAATGGCTGGGTAATTTACTACTGCTTTGGGAAACAGCCGCGGTTAGGTGACTCACAACACTGATCACGATGCATGGCTATGAATTAAGTAACAGTTGCATAGTGCGGTGCAGTACGACCCATTAAATTTCATGTGCTTTTTACCCATCAGTAAGATCAAGTTAAACAAGATCACTATGTGTAACCTCAAATTATCAAGTGTTTTATGGTTCATAGGGCTCATAGGAGAATTAGATGTTTCTTGTGTGGTCATGTATAGAATTGTCGTTATTTTTGTGTAGTATAAATATGGAAAGCGCTACTTGTTATTTGTGGTTAAGTTTGTAAATGTTTGTCCAATACCCATGAGTTTGCTAGTTAGGAATTTTGGTCACACACCGGGACACACGTTCGAGCAGATGTTTAGCACGCAATTGGTACGAGGATCATGCTAAACTTAAACCAAAAAGTAATTTCAACGTAAATAGGTAAGTACGGTCGTTTGCGACTGATGGGTCCCAATGAGGAGGAAAGCAGTAGCGGAATGCAGTGCTGTGGAAGGGAACCATCAAAACCACTTTAGATACGGTCCCAGTGATGGTGATGGCCGAGGTGCAGTTCTAAATAAGCTGTGGTTCAGATTAATTTCACGCGTCACAATACAAGCTCACGGTAGGTAAGCACGGTAGGTGCCGAAGTAAACTTATTCAGGTTGCACCGAACGGCACTGTAGTGAGCACAAATTAATTATTGTGACCCAGTAAGATTCAACCTTTCAGATGCAACAACATATTTTAAATATATATTCTGTTACCTATATAACCATTCATCAGTTCCAATGAACCACAATGCACCTAAACAGTATGCTCAATTGAGGCCAATTCTACAAAAAGTTGTTTATTCATAGGTAAATTTTACGCTATCTGCGCATTTGTGTTATAGACGGCCAAGTTATGTAATCATGTGCTCAGAACTTCGTTCCATCTGGAACGACTTACTTACACTGAGCTATCTACCACATTTATGTGCTTAACTGAATTGTTATACCAAAATCTACTAACAGGCGGTAGAAATGGAATCGGAGATAGCAAGTATTACACGACGAAATGCGTGACGCAGGTTTCTCGACCGGTGTCAGAAAAATGATGATTGTTGGCGCCACGGTACGGCGGAGTCCAATTGGAGATTGAAGTAGGGATAATAAATGCGGTAGGCTTGCTTGAAGTTCTGATGGCAGCGCTTTCTATTTGGTTTATATCACCTTGTTGTGTAGGTCACGATGTACGAATAAATCTTTTATGCGGTAGCCGTTTTAACCTATGGTAAGTGATCATTTCCAATGATCAAGTAGGCTGAAATTAAAAATGAAAGCATTATTCTGTATCTGTCCGCATTGTACTTCAATATTGAAACTGCTACGTGCGACGAAGGAGCGCACTGATTCTTCATTAATCATTTGCCCTGATGCTGTGACGCTGTACATCCATAAAGGCCCAAATAATGATGAATAAGAATAATCTATGACGAAATGAGCTATCCACTCCAAACTAGTTTTCAGAACCAGGACATTTCCTTTTTCTTAACAACGTATCGCCGCAAAAGACTGCCTGGAGCAAAAGGAGAATGTGGTATCTGCCAGCTAACATTTTTGCCGCATTCAACCGTTTAACGACATAATCAACCTTGCCCCACAGATAGATCGACAGTATAAGAACTGGATAGAAAGTTAATACATATGACGAAATCAAGCACTACAGCGCGGCCTGTTGTGTGCTATATCGTGTAGTGCTAGCTAGCATTGACCCCAGTCTGTAAGACGATGCAGACAAGCAACATTAAAAGCAAAAGTAGTGGACTTGATTTCCTTCCACTAGCTAAAGTATCACTTCCTTGTTAGGCGTTGAACAGGTATGCATAGCAACTACTTGGTTGAAATCGATTAATAGACTTTACATGTTCATTTAGGAAAATAACCTAAACATAGATTCTTGCACGTCGCATTTTTCGGGCCCGCAGGTATCATACAACAATGTCAAACACAAAAAAAGCAAAAACAAAAAGGCACTTTCAGAATCATACTGTATAGTCATTACTGTGTTCGCAAATGCGGAACCTTCAAACGCAAGATGTAGAGCACGCATCCACGAGGCAAGGAGAAGCCTAGACTGCGTTTATAATTATGTTGTTATGAATAAGTAATTAATTAAAACACACAAGTTGTCGAAAACTTATCCATTCACACCACAAGGAAATACATATTTATATTGTCCATCTTATTTCCGTTGTTTGGGTTCATTTACGCAAGTTAGCCATTCTCTTAATATTACTCTACCCGATCCAGCTCCTCCCCGATTAAAGTCAAGTAGATCTTACTTCTTGCTAAAAAAATCGCTTATGTGTTATCCAGTTTTCGTGGGCCATGCATAAGCCTGTATCACTCAACCCCGCGTCGGTAACATTCACCGAAACTGGCATCAGCTGATAAAATATACCAGTAGGACGTTAAATAAAGTAGAGGCTCATAAAAACATATTCAGTCATCAGATGGATGTAATTAATTTCAGCACTCACACACCAATTGCTGTTACTTCGACTGCCAGTTTGTCCAATTAGCTCCTCATTGAAACAGATTTCGTGGGCCTGCCACAGTGATTGGTAATTTAGGACTGAAGACATCTTGCCGAAAGATGAAGCGCAAACAGCGATTTCTAGGACTAAATGTGCGATCTCAGGATAGGTAAGCGACCATAGGCATTTGATTACTTCAGTGAAATTTGGCGAGTCCAACAGAGAATGAAAGCTAGTATTTGTTCGCTACAGCAGCGCTACTTCACGGCACAGGTGAGGGCCATCTGTTGATCGACTCTGCTTCAACCTCGTTTAGCTCACTTTACAGGTGTTACTAAGTAGTGCATACACCAATAATATATTGAACACTTCCAAGTACATGTAAAAGTCAATATTGACATTCTTGCTTTCCTTGGTTATTCAGTTGCTAGTAGTCACTATATCATTTTATCAGCCATGACTTTTAGGTGGCTGTTTGCTGACAGCAGTTTGCGTGCTTCACCAACTCAGGCTCTGTAGTGTTTAATCAAATAACAGTGCTTAAAATTCGCGGCAACATAATATTTGATTGTGATACGAATGAAGTGCTACGCTAAGGGTCTCTGGTCTTCAAAATGTACGCCTAAAAACAAACCTATGTATAGCGGCTGGAGAGCTGAGGTGAGATGCTAAGGTGTGCAATTAGAGCCAACCAATGAATGGATCATATCATGACTAAGTAACAAGCGTGTTCTGTTACTGTCGACCATATTGACACATAGGCTGACTCTTTGCACAAGTATTCCCAAAATCGGTATAGTTTCTTTTAATTTCTAAGACATAAATGCCACGGTTAATTTGGTCCCCTGCTTACGCCACATCTAGCCTTCTCTATTGTAATGTTTTCTCTACTCACGCGTTAGCAACGTTCCACTCGCTACTTCGATGACAGTAAAGTGGCTGGCGGAGCGGAAGTTTTGGAAGAAGTGGAGACAATCACTTTGCAGCCGATTGGGCGCGGAGTGCACGATCTTGAACCAACCGGGTCGGTTGGACGGTCGTACAGAGCCTACACACCAACTGGTGAGTCGTTAATTTATAGTCTGCTGATCCACTCATCATATCATCTATGCGATTAGCTGCATAATTATTGCCTCACTGAATTCCTGAATGCCCCATTTCCTTCTTCTTCGAATATGAAATTTTTCTAATAGCCGGACAGAATGGCATGCCTAAAAAAGAAGAGTTAAACTAATAGTCTGGGAAACCTTGGTAGTTCTTGGCATGTAGAATGTTAATATAACCTTTACGGATCAAACATTAACCCCAGAATTTGATTGTGGGTCAGTGCACGCTATCGCTATTCCACAAGCATGTATGCAGGAAGTCAGAAGTTGAATTTGTATACTTTCGAAATCCGGTGGTAAATATCGGTTCGTCAAGGCGTAAGCAGTGGGTTACGAGTAGTTAATGTGTAGACCATGCATTAATTAAGTGTCGGTTGACACGTAGCAGAGTCAACCGCGATAAATGCAGCTATGGTAAACTGATTTATGCCAAAATGGGATTGGTTGTTCCTTTCTCTATATCTTTGATGATTACTTTAATTTCCTTTAACTTAAAATGGCATAACGATCAAACAACGTTTACATGCACGTACTGATTCCTTTTCGTTTACTATCTTGCAGTCCGTTCTTCTTGAAGTAACTACCCATTGCTTTCTGACATAGGCTACTGTCTTTATAACCTTTCTTTCTAGGTAGTGTGCAGTCCATTAGATCGGTTCCCATCAGATGGAGCAAAATACAGCCCGAAAACCTGACGCGGTTCCATTCTCAACAACAGGAGACAGGTCACCGGGGTTGGGCTCATCAGATGTCAGCTCAGTCCCCGAAATTAGTGCATGAATCGGCCTCAGCTGATTTTTTCAACTTTATTGGCACCCCAGTTATTCACTCAGGTCCTTTTCCCTATAGTAATTCGGCCGAATTCCAAGGCCCGTTGAGGGTTGACACCACGTCCTATCGACCCAGACATCAAGGTCGGCAAAATTTGTCACCACTTGGAATAACACGAAGTCTACCGCGTACAACTGGCTCTGCTAGCCCCAGAAACTGTGAACAACGGAGTCCAAAAGGGATGGTAGTTCGACGGCCGATGTTCTCCACGCTGAATGCACATGAGTCGAGTTCTCCGGGTAAATCCTTGCCACTCGACAATCATGCGGTCACACAAGGCACTCTTTTTTGCGTGTTAACTGGGCGATGCCTATAATATGACGTCCGCCGGTGAATAGAGTGAAAGTAATCCGCATCTCTGCTTGAACAAACGCGCTCGTGTTTGCCTTGGGCTCAAAGTCTATTTTTCCGTTTACTTCACCGTCCATTCTCAACTATTCCAGATTTGAATGTTTAGTAACCGAATAAAAACATTTTCATGGGGACACCACCAACAACTCACGTTGTAATTGCAGTTACACATTTGCGTTGCTTATTCACCAGCTTTCAATATCTTCATCTAACCCGTATTTGGTGTAACTCTCCTCATTGCTTATTATCATTTCCTTTCATTTTTTGGCTATCGCTGCCCACTAATCCCATTATATCCGAAGTGACTCCTGTTTAACTATGTTATCCCTTCTCAGCTTCTAGGGCCTATACACCGGGTCCAGATCAATCAGATGGGTATCGTACTATTGCTACCACGAACGTGCACAGGGAAATTCCTACTTCAGGGGGTCCATCGCCATTTGCGTAAGTACCAGCGTTTTACACGTATGTGTTCACCGTATGTTGTTGGTCACAACTCATGCATCTCTATGTTGTAACCGTAGAATCATCTCCTATCGGTCAAAATATAAAATATAAATTTGGTTTACTTGCACGGGTAAAGAAAGAATTATACATTATAGTTTATTTTCACTCAATCAGGTCACTGAACTCTGAGAAACTAGCAATAGATTTCCGTATAGGAAGCTGACCACTGCAATGTGATTTCCATTATATTCAAACAATAAACGATTTCCAGCTTGAGGTTTTCTCACAATGATTCTCATGGTTTACTTTCGGAAACGACACTTCCTCCTAATTGTCGTACGATATCTGGATGGAAACGGGAGTCGGCGTAAACTTTAGCTAATAGTTTTGTACCTATCCTGATCAGCCTAATTATGCATGATAAAACGGCCAGCATTTGGCATTCGATTAAATTAATCTAAGGAATTGTGGCTATAGTCGTATAAGGTGAGGGGACAAATACCAAGCAGCTTGGCTATCGCATGCATCTAGACGTAGCAGAAAAAATAGTAGATACAAAAATTTTGACTAAAGTTTAACTACGAAAAGAATACGAAAAGGATCGTTTATGACACCAAACTGATCCCCACCCGCTTATACATAATTTGATGAATCACAACCTGCGTATATATACAGTAATCATTTTCATTTGGACGTTCTACAGACCATATTGGATGTTGTGTAAAGCACAATTGATTTGTTGCAAAACGAGTTGGACATGATGTAAAACAAATCAGACAGTTTACAAACCGAATTGAACACATTACATTCTAAGCAGCAAATTAGCAATTTGCTAGCAAGCAATGATTAGTAAGGCGACTAGCCGATGTACACAATACATTGTAGTCATGTTAATGCAACCGAATTGGGTAAGAAACGGGTGTCACTGCAAACCCATCTCTTAATCGTGAACCACGATCAACTTGATTATAGGCGGGGAATAGTATTCCCCCTCTGTTCCTATCCGCATTCGCGTAGTTCATGTGCCAGTGACATTACACATGGACATGTGTAGCTGTGTAACCAATGGAAATTCAGACTCCCGAATCGCGAAGTCTGTTTTTTCTTAAACAAACGTTAACTAGCTTTGGAGGGTCCATGTGAAGCACTTGTTTTCTGAATGGATTGCGATGAGCAATCTCAATGTGGATCGCGATTTCCAATGAATTAGACCTTGGTCATTCCAATCACTGGGACCATAACTGTTGAAGTCGATAGGCCGTGACCCAGTAGTCCTCTGTCATCCTATGGACCTTCATGTATTTACTGGAAGTGAGTAGGCGGAACTGTGCATCTTCCGGACTATTGGAACAGCATAAGCAATCACGAATGCCAGTTCCAATTCAAATAATAGTCCACAGGCCCCGAAAATGACTAGACGGCAGTTTCAGCCTGTAGGGCATCATCAGTAGCGGTCATCCCTCAGCTCCATCAGGATTCGAACCCCCGGACCACCAGCAGCTCATGCCACTGGAACAAGGGGTGCAGCATCGAACCATCATGATTTACAAGCTAACCGTCATATAGCACGTCTCAGCCTCTTGAACTGGCCATAGGGCCTGCGACATCGGTCTTACAAAAAGACGACCGGCACCCGATCTCTTAAGGGTCGGCATAGACCCACACCGGAAAGCAGCATTCACAAACGCACTTCTGACCACTGATGCCCTCACCTGCTTGTATACCAATGCACAAGGTTTTGTCAGCAAGCTAACCAAAATTCTTATTCCTCAGGTCTCCACGCCTTGGGACCTAATTATGATCACCGAAATTTGACTGAACACCGAGATCACGGATGCTGAGATTACACTACTGGGCATGACTTCCATACGAAACGATCGACCTAGAAGAGGATGGGGAGTGGAAACATTATAGTGTTGCTCGTCCCAACACTGGCACCCCAAGACCGCGGTTTCGTCCTCGTTGGGACTCATCAGTTGGAGATAGCCTGAGTTGGGCTGGAACTCAGAGCCTAGTGGTTCTGTATTATCTATCCGACCGGCATGTTGATATCACTGAGGACCCAGGAACGAAAGTCGTCGATTCTCTTTGGTGTCATAAGCACCTACGAGGTGGGAATGTGTTACTATCAATGATTTCCCGCCATCCAATGTCTACCTTGGAAATGGATTAATGCCTAGCTTCTGCGATGAAACGAGTCCTGGTGCGAACATCGAGTCATGTCCATCTGGTGCGGGACTTCAACCTTCACACAATCGAAGTTCTAGCATCGCACAACGAAAATTCGAGGTTGCCGTGCAAGAGGTGATTGCCGATGTACCTCTGTACAACCATGTCACCTCTCCCACGCGATACCGAACGGGTGACACACCCTCTGTTTTAGACCTTGTGCTCTCCAACGAGGAAATAATGGTTGACAACATGAACATAGATGCACCACTTGGCTATAGCGAGCACGCGATGTTGCGCTTTCGTTACACCTGTTGCCCGGGGTACATCAGTGAGAACAACGTGGAAACCTATGTCGTTACACATTACGACATCCTGTCCAACCTCGTTCAAGAAACCGACAAGTACTTCCTGGTCGATTAGCCGCCCGACGTCGTCTGGATGGTGTTTGTCCCCAAATTCACTGAGCCAGTGGCAAATGCGTCAGAAAACAAGGTCTTTCGTCCGAAGCAAGTGATTTTAACACTGAGGAACCATACTAAAAATGCATGGCTTTAAGAGATTCAGTCTTGCGGGCTTACAAAGTATGTCCAAGTGAGCTGACCTGGGATGATTACACAACTCAACGAAAACACTGAGTCAAGTTGATCTACGAAGACAAACTCCAGCAGCAACAGAACTTAGCGGCGAAATTTAGTACAAATCCCGATTTTTTGTATAGACACGTCAACAAGCTCCGCAGAGTACAGCGCGAGATTCCAGTTTTACGTGCAACTGACAGCCTTGGGCAAACCACACAAGATGCGGCTAACTTGTTTCGCCAAAACAAATCTATACTTTCCGGAGTGAATTATCATTTCAACCGCTTTTTACACAGCTGCCGTCGCCATTAGGGTTAAACCATATATTGTTTACAACAGGCAATGTGATGAAAAGACTAATGTCATTGCGCGTGCACGGCTCACCTGGCGTGGACGACATCAAACCGAAGGTATTAAAGACAGCAGCCATGGACCTTTTGGAACCATTAGCCCGGTTCTATCAACGTTGTCTCGACGAAATGCAGATTCCCACAATGTGGAAACATGAACTAGTCACTGATATTTACAAAAGTGACAATCGTGCGGAGCCTCCAAATACCGTCCAATCACTCTCTTCCCCGTTTTATGCAAAGTAATGGAAGGTGTGATCGCAGAGGCGCTCATGGGATATCTTGAGAGCAACAACGTCCTAGTGTCACATCAACACGGATTCCGCCGAAATCGATCCCGCACTGCAAACTTGCTGCTAGCCCGAACAAGCTGGACAGAGTCAGCTGATGCCAGAGTGCGAGTCGACGTTGTCTACCTGGACTTCTCTAAATCGTTCGATCGTTTGACCCACCGCATTTTCCTTCACAAGCTCCGAAGCTATGGAATTAGTGACCCTGTGCTCGGTTGGATTGGCAACTTCCTCACTCAAGGTAAGCTGAATGTGGGAATCCGCAGCTCCATTTCCGACTCATATGACGTCCTGTGTGGCGTGCCCCATGGACCGGTACTGTGGCCACGTTTATTCCTAATATCCAGTAACGTTATTGCTGGTGAACTCAAGTCGAGTTTCTTACTATTTGCAGATGATGTCAACATTTGGCCTAATAGCAGTACATCGGATGATCACATGGAATTGCAGCGTGATCTCGACAAGGCTTATGCGTTATTATCCGATAACCTTCTCCAATTCGAAGTGGGGAAGTGTAATGTCGTGCGCATACGCCACCAGGTTATCTTTGAATATGGAGTTGGGGATCAGCAGTTATAACATGCTTCCCAAGGAAACGACCACGGGGTGATCGTGCAGGACGGTCTTGGCTGCTCGGAACAGTCTCATAAGGTATCGATTAGAGCCAGTCAACATCTTTTGCCTCTACGGAGGGCTTTCGGAAAATTTGAGCCATCAATCTTTCCGCAAGCGCTGAAAGCCTACGTGAGGCCTGAGGTTTAATATGCGATCCAGGTCGGCGCCCCTGGCGCAAACGCGACATCAATGCACTTGAACCTCAACTAGGTAGAGCAACTAAACTCGTTAGAGGATTGTTTCATCTCTCCTACCAGCGCTGCTTGCAGTCCTTGAGATTGTACGGTGGTAAACATCGATGTCCGAGAGGAGACCACGTCATGGTTTACTTAATACTGACTAACCCAACTTACCCATGTCGCAATCTGTTGCCGCTGAGCCAAAATGCCAACCTGAGAGGACATCAGCTCAAAGTGGCTACGCACTAAACTCGACTTGATTGTCGACGAAACATTTTCCCTTTCCGTGTGTCCCGTGCCTGGAACGCCCTTCCGACTCACGTTATCCTTGCTCCTACATTTACGCTATTCAAAAATGCCTTGGTGAAATGCGTTCAAACTTGCATTTTTTGATATAGTCCGTTCCACTTGGAGGACGAAATAACGCAGACCTAAGCATGTGCTTAACCGCCTTCTCCGCCACGTGGCGGTTTGGATACACGCAGAAGGTCCTTGTGAGTAGCATGGTTGTATCTAAACGGGATTGACATACCACGTCTGTCAAAGGAAGTAACACGCGAATAAGCGTCGTCGTTGTAGTGCTCATGTACTTACTGAGCTATCACGGCTCTTTATACTATTTTGTGTGTGCACATCCCATTCCCACTTCAAACTATCAGTATGCAGTAGTGTATTTCAATCGGTAGACGATTAAAATAACGATTTACCTATTCGTTGATCCTTTCCATGTTAATTTTTACTCCAACCATCCTACAGGACTCGTCAAGTACATACCTTTTCCCGTGATAAATGATTGTTCACTGTTCACTGTTC